CCAAGCCCTCTCATGCCTCCTCATCTCAGAGTAACCACCAATGTTCTTCTTACAAAACTTACAAACTGTAAGTTCCTATATAACCAGGCCCCCCTCTCTCTCTCTCTGACTGTCTCCCCTGCTCTCACCAGCTCTCTCCCTCTGTTCCAGATATGTTGGCCTCGGGTGCTTTTCCTGCCAAATATACCTCAGAGGCTTTGCTGTTCCGTAGGCCCAGAACATTCTTCCCACAAGTATCTACATGGCTTGCTCCTACACCACCTGCCCCACAAGAAATAAGCTCAAAGAAGACATGAATCTCTTGTCAGTTTTCACAACTTCATTTCTAATGCCTAAAACACTACCTGGCACAGAGTCGGGGAGTGAAATCCATTTGTTTAATGGAGTAAGTAACTTAATGAATATGAATCATGTTGAGTTAGACGTAGCTGGAAGACTTTCAGGTAGAGCCGCTCCATAGACAGTTGGAAGTGGAGAGCTGGAGGTCAGAGGGAGAGCTGGGATGGGGACAGAGGTCTGGAACCACTGAGACAAGAGCAGAATCATCTCAGAAGGATGAAGAAACACAAGGGAAGAGAGAAGCAGTATAGGACTTAAGAGTAGAGACCCAAAAGACAACAGCCCAGGCTTAAATCCTAGTCCCAACATATCCTGCATATAAATCTTGAACGAATTTTTAAACCTCTCTGTCCCTTGGTTTCCTCATCTCTAAAATAGGGTTTTAGTAACACCTGTCTCAGAAGAGTACAGCAAGATTTCAATGAGCCCACACATGTAATGCAGAACAACCTAGCACATAGCTAGCACACAATCAATGAAAGCAAGGGGGTCTCATTTGAGGAGAGTCTCATTTTCTTTGGATAAGAGGGGCTGCATTCATATTTCTGGAAGCCACAGTCTGTTTTCTGACTATGTAAGTCCTTGCTTCCTTGTATTCCACGATGAGCTAACAGAGGTTCTCTCTGCTTTTCTGCTTTGACCTTTGGTGGTTTGGTTTTGCTTCTTTTATCTATGGTCTTATTAAAAGAAACTGCAAAACTTCTCTGAAGGTGTTTTGAATTGGAGCACGGTAGACCAAGAGGTAGACAATACAACAGAAAGAGCATGGGCATTCCGAGTAAGACAAATATGGGCTGAACTCCAGCTCTTCTACTCGGATAACTAGTCTCTCCTGATTTCCTCCTTTTTTAGAGAGGGGGCCTTGTTATATGACATGCAGGCTGGACTCCAATTCCTGGGCTCAAATGATCCTCCCGCCTCAGCCTCCCAAGTAGGTAGAACTTACAGTTGTGCCTGGTTCCTCTCTTGATTTCTAAAACAGAAATAATACCTACCTCAAGTACCTCAAGCCTGAAGAAGAGTAGTTGCTGAATACCTATTTGTGGAATGAATGAATGTTGTGAGGATTACATGTGACAGTATGCATAAAACGTGTAGCACAAAGCCTAGCACGCTGTAAGGGTCAATCGACAGACCCAAAATGGAAGCTGCACAGACTCCTGTGTTTATGACTGGCAGCTGGATTGGCATTCCTGTGGTGAGGGCCTGTTTAAGGAACCCAGTGTCAGGTCTGAACTTTCTATTTATTCGTGTCATTAAAAAGTATTTTCATTTCATCTTTTAAGAGAAGAGGTTTACTTTTACTAAAGTTTTACTGAAGTACTAAGCCTTCTTAGAAGGTGTACTTTGGCCAGGCGCAGTGGCTCACACCTGTAATCCCAGCACTTTGGGAGGCTGAGGTGGGTGGATGACTTGAGGTCAGGAATTCGAGACCAGGCTGGCCAACATGGTGAAACCCCATCTCTACTAAAATTACAAAAATTAGTCAGGCATGGTGGCAGGTGTCTGTAATCCCAGCTACTCGGGAGGCTGAGGCAGGAGAATCGCTTGAACCCGGGTGGCAGAGGTTGCAGTGAGCGGATATCGCACCACTGCACTCCAGCCTGGGCAACGGAGTGAGACTCCGTCTCAAAAATAATACTACTAATAAAAAATAAAATAAATAAATAAAGAAAAGAAAAGAAAAACAAGAAGGTGCACTTAGAGTGATGAGATATTGGTATCAGGGTTTGCTGTGGGCCTTGAAAAGATAACAGAGAAGGCTTGATGGTTGTTCTGTTTGCATTTGGGTTTCCTTTTATCCCTTAGCGGATGGCTGGTTCAGAGCACAGTAGGCTGACAACCTTTTGTATCTCATTCTTCCTGCACCATTTTCACACCACAAAAGCTGAAATGGCTCAGCAGTTGCTTTCTGACAATGCATGTAATCATGTACTAGAAGGCTTATAGCTATGAAAATATTAGTAAGCATTTCAGAACTAATTGCATTTTTGTGGGTTTACCTGTCTTAAGGGAACATTTAAAAATTATTTTTTGCCTGACTGCAAAAGAATATACATTCACTGCAGAAAATTTGGAAAACTGGGAAAGTTCAAAAGAGAACACCCACTCTATCACTATGCGGTATGACATTTCTGTACACATCTGTCAAATCTTTCCAGATGCCCACTCCCTGGGGAGGTGTCTATGTGTGTAGAAGCAAAATTCATATCATACTAAACTCATTATTATTATATATAACTGGTTTTCCAAATTAGCTATTGCATGCATGCATTTAAGCAAACTCATTCTGCACCTGATAGGTACCAGGCACTTAATGAAGTACAGAGGATAAAGGAAGTCAGCACACAAAAAAATTCATTACAATTAAGTGAGATTAATGCTGGATGTGATGGCTCAAGCCTGTAATCCTAGCACTTCGGGACGCCAAATCACTTGAGGTCAGGAGTTCAAGACCAGCCTGGTCAACAAGGTGAAACCATGTCTCTACTAAAAATACAAAAATTAGCCAGACACACTTGCTTGAACCCAGGAGGCAGAGATTGCAGTGAGCTCAGATCGCGCCACTGCACTCCTGGCTGGACACAACACAGCAAGACTATCTCAAAAAAAAAAAACCATTAAGTGAGATTAAGTGCTGATAAAGGTATTAAGTACAAGAGAGGAAGCACAGACAACTTGTAGAGGTGTCAGGGAAGCTTCCTACAGGAGATGGCATATGAGCTATTACTAACAGGTAAAACAGAATTTCACCAAGGAAAGAAAGGACAGGCCAGGCATGGTGGCTCATGCCTGTAATCCCAGCACTTTGTGAGCCCAAGGTGTGCCAATCGCTTGAGCTCAAGATTTCAAGACCAGCCTGGGCAGCATGGTGAAACCCTGTCTCTACAAAAATACAAAAAATTAGCCAGGCATGGTGGCACGCACCAGTGGTCTCAGCTACTTGGGAGGCTGAGGTGGGAGAATCGCATGGGCCTGGGGGGCAGAGGTTGCAGTGAGCCCAGATCTCACCACTGCATTCCAGTCTCACTCAACAGAGTGAGATCCTGTGTCAAAAAATAAACAAAAAAAAGAAGAGACAGATAAAGAGAAGGAGGTACGTCAGCAGAGGACGTAGCAAGAAGGCCCCAAAGATGAAACTCATACCATATTTAAAGTACTACAAAAATCCAGTGTGGATAAAAAGGTGTAGGAGCAGGGGAGATGAGGCTGAAAATGCAGGAGCCAGGCAAAGATGTGGGATTTGAAGCAGAGGGCTGCCATGCTCCGATTTACATCTTGGTTAGACAATACTACAGCTTCAAGTATGAAGAGGGGCAAAGAGGAAAACCAGACAGACCTATAAGAGGACTGATAGAGAAGAGGAAAGATGGTGTAAATCAAATGGGAATGGAGATAAGAGACAGTGGCCTAGGAATAATACTGAGCTAGAAGTCACAGAAATCATATTGACCTGGATTCTAGATGAATAAAGTCCTTCTTTCCTCTCTTCCTTCATTGGTTACTGATGGTCAGCTATGTACATGCAGGTGCTAGAGATACAAAGATGCTGTGACCTAATTCCTATTCCGATTTTCATGGTAACCCTCCACTTTAAGACTTCACATTCTAGTAGGAAAGAAGAGGTGAAAATTTATTATTTTTACATGCCCAGAGGGCCTACCCTTCTTCTTTGGAAACGGGACTCCGATTTTCCTTTGGGAAGGCCACCCATGTCTAACTCACATAGTGCATGCAGTTTGGTGGGAGTACTCCCACTCCAACCCCACTCCAAGAGTAGGTGCAAGAACTAGGCCAGGCAAACAGGAGCATTTGACTCTCCTGAACATGATGACTAGTTCAGTGATAAGCATACGACTCCAACCAGGCCAACAGGATTACTTCCTGGAGAATTTGATGGAACCAGGCTCCCTACCTTTTTCTAAGATCCCAGATGCCAAAGACCACATACCCCTTGGGCTGTCAGAGTCCTGCTATGCTCTTAGATGAGAGCCTACTGAGCATGAGATCACAATGAGGAAAGCTAAGCCAAGAAAAACAGAAAGAAACTGATTGGGTGACATCTTTTGTAAAGTTGGATTTAGCCACCTACTCCTAGACTTCTAAGGCAAGTCAATACATTCCCCTTATTTTTTGCCACAGTGAGTTTGATTTGGGTTTTTGTCATTTGTAATTGAAAGAGTGGTGTCTAATTCAGAGAGACAGACACGGGATCCTGTAATTGCAATACCACCTGTGCTAGGTGATGCAGAGTTATTTACAAGGAGTGCAATCAACTTGACTTGTAGGTAGCATAAGCTGGGAAAATGTTCACAAAGGAGGTGATGTTTAACTGAACTCTTGAAGAATTAGCCATCTGCAACAGGATAAGGAGCAAAAGGAAGGAGGAGGAGCTATGCAGAAGAAACAGCATGAGCAGAGGCAAGGAAGTGTGGAATGTCCGAGGAAATAAAAACAGTCACTATGCTAAAGCATTAAATTCATAGCAAAAAGCCGACTCTGAAGAAATGTACATGCTCTGTAGGCCATGAGGAGTCATGGGTGATCTAATTTGACCTTTTCACCTGTCATTTAACCTCTCTAGCCCAGCTTCCTCATAGGTAAAATAAGGTTGATCAGAACACATCACTGAAATTGATAAAAATATTAAAATACCTTACCTGCTGATAGAATTCATCATCTTTGGGAGTCAGATAAGGAAGCCAAGTGTCTTCAAGCTCTTCAAGAAGCCTCAGTTTCTGTTTGAAAATAATAATAATTACATATAAGTGAATATACAATGACCCGAAATAAGACATTCTCTTATTTTTCAAATAAGACATACAAACAAATTTTAGCCAACTTTGAATTTATAATCTTTTAGAGAGAGAAATTAGTCAAATCGCAATTATAAAATGTATTAATTAAATTACATACATCTTTTTTTTTTCTTTTCTTTTAGAGACAGAGTCTTGCTCTGTCACCCAGGCTGGAACACAGTGGTGTGACCATAACTCACTATAACATCAAACTCCTGGGCTCAAGCGATCCTCCCGTCTCATCCTCCCAAGTAGCTGGGACTACAGGGGTGCCACCATGCTTGGATAATTTTCTTTTTATTTTCAGTAGGGACAAGGTCTTGCTATGTTGCGCAGGCTGGTCTCAAATTTCTGACCTCAAGCAATCCTCCCATCTTGGCCTCCTACAGTGCTGGGATTACAGGCATGAGTCATGGCACCCAGTCAATTTACATACATACTAAATTACACATGGCATGAAGCATAAATTTAGAAATTATTTTATTCACTCTCACATTTCATGAGACAATTTGATTCACTTTTCACATGTATTGTTGACATTCAGGTCTTTTTCATCACTAGAGCCAGCTTACAAGTCATCCAATACAGTTTTCCAGAGCAAATGCCTGTCTGTACAATCTGCTTGAGACATAGTAGCTTGTAAATCCTTTTATGGTACTATCACTGGAAATACCAAACCAAGCCACAAGTATCTATCTGCATAATGTCAGGATATGTGGAATAGTTATTCATCTTTTAAACATTTATTTGAGATCATATCCACTTACAGTATTGCTTTCTTAGAGTGATCTATCATCTCTACAATAATTACTAAATCTGTGTTAAACATCTTTGTTTCTTTTCTTTTCCAATTCCATGAAGCAGCCTTTTTAAGCAGTCAAAGCCAGCATTGTCTGAGGCTGTTTCCAGAGACTATGTTTTCCCCAAACAGTACTGTGCTATTCAAACAAAGTAACTGAAAGAGGATCTCATATTATAAAGTATCTTATAAGAAATCAGATACATATAGGGCACCTGCTTCCTTCTGAGGGATATTTTTCAAAGAATATCTGACTTTACATTCAAGAATATATGGAGTTTGTGTGTGTACGTGACACATAAATGGCATAAATGTGCACATACACTCACAGACATATAGACATGTACATACAACAGACATTATCTGTAAGAAAGCAAGCAAAAACAGCAGAAACAACTGGGTTTCAAATAAAAATGCAATTAAATGCATCATCAAAGCTACTGTCAGCCAGTAAGTCACATTTATAAAAATTAGATAATGGTATACCTTGCTCTGGGCCAATACAGTCCCACTCCATAAGAATATGACTTGGTAAACACAAACTGGATTTCAGGCTCCACCTGCTCCAATGGCCACTGTCTTTACAAAGTGCACAACCTACTCAACCAGATGCGGTGGCCCTAAGTGCTACCCCCTCCCACCCCAGGATAGCAGCCTTCTCTCACAAACCCATCACAATCAGAGCAGTCAAAGGAAACGTCCTTTTAGGTAAAACACAAATCCTTTCTGGAACTTTTTTGTATCATTATCTAAAGTGAAGAAAGAGAAAGGGAATAGAAGTAGAGCAACCAATTGACCTAAGAGACACAAAACCAAATTCTACTCTTAGGCATATTCTATTATATTTATTTAGTCAAAGTCTTTGTTTTGACTATAGGTGTTTTCTCATTTATAACAAAAAGGTTGACTTACAGTTCAACTATGATTTTTTTTTTTTTTTTTGAGACAGGGTCTCACTCTGTCCCACAGGCTGAAGGGTAGTGGCCCAATCACAGCTCACTGCAGCCTTGACTTCCTGGGCTCAGATGATTCTCCCAACTCAGCCTCCCAAGTAGCTGGGACTAAAGGTGCAATGCCATCATGCCTGGCTAGTTTTGTTTTACTTATTCTTTGTAGAGATGAGGCCTCAGTATGTTCCCTACGCTGGTCTCAAACTCCTGGGCTCGAATGATATGCCTGCCTTGGCTTCCCAAAGTGCTGGGATTACATAAGTGAGCTACCATGCCTGGCCTAAATTATGATACTTTTATAGTTATAATACTAATGTAACACATACCATTACAGATAATCGACAAACCAGTTTGGATAACTCACTATTGGTTAATCAATTTATCTATTTTTCAGTATTAACCATTATTTGGGCCATAGAAAGAACCAATGATATTTCCATGCGCATACTTATACATTTCTCTACTCCCCATAAATTTAATCAAAATCTATACCTCAATTTTTACTTCAAGCTCAGAAATGCCTCCATTTTCCTATGAATATTTTATCAATTCTTAGTCTTTTTTATAGACACAAAGTGCCAGAATATTTATAAATGCCAAAAAAGGTAAGCCTTGAATAATTCAAATGCACATTTCTCAAACCTTGAAATGCCTCCACCTTGCAAACACCACCTTAAGATCTCTACATGACAGTCCATCAATAAAGCTAATCTACATATAAAGAGGAGCACAAAAGTATGGATTCCCAAAAGTAATTACATACTCCACCTAAATCAAGTGAAACAGCAACAGACCTGTCCCATAGGTCGACAAGTGCCAGTGTAGGCTGAACCTCTGCTTATAATTAATGCTTCAGCTAAATTCTGTAACAACCACCATTTCTTAGTTCATTTCGGAATTGAGCATCAGACAGGTATAAAACATTGTAACTTATAAGGCTGTTTCAAAAGGATAAAATTTGACAAGATTTTTCCTACTCTAGAGCAAGTAGCATATAACTGATCTTTCACTAGGAATTTTCATTTTCATACTGTGAGCAATGTTGTGTCTACGCGACAGCAGAGAATGGGGACCAGAAAATCACCCAACTTAAGACCCTACAGATAAAAATCTGCTCTGAACATCAACACTCACTACTTGCAATTTTACCAAGTAACTGACAAGATCAATTATTAAATAACAATATTTACAAACGTAAAGAGAAGTTTTGGCCATGTTTACATCAGTGAAATCAATCAGATATCAATAGTAAATTAAGTTGGTAGCTCATAAACATCAAAATTAAAAATTCTTAACTGCTTTATAAAAATCAAACATTAAGATTGTTTTATGAAAAGCGAGGTCACTATGGGCAAGACTAAGAGAAACAGGCCCTTTTGCTCTCTGCTGTCAGGAGGGCAAAACAACAGGATCCTTAGAGAGGGTAACAGTCAACTTTCAAAACGCAAATGCATGTGCCATGTGAGCCAGCGATCCTACTTTTGATTTATCCTTCTAATATACTTGTACCATGTTCAGAAGAATATATGCACGAGGATATTCATTACATCATGATTTGTAGAACAAAAGTTCGGAATCACGCTAAAAACCACTGAACTTTGCACTTTAAAATGGTGAATTTTATGATATGGAAATTATTATCTCAATAAAACAAACAGATTAGAAACAATGCAAATCTCCAGCCACAGGGGACAGTTGAATAAACTACAGGACATCCATGTGATGAGGTATAAAGCAACAGTAAACAAAAACAAGGACGCTTTCTGTTTATGAACTAAAAAGCTCTCCAGAAGATATTGGGGAGTAAAAAGCAAGGCACAAAACTCTGCTTGTATTCACACACAGAAACACAAAGGATGAATGACAGACTATTAAAGTGATTAACTGTCAACAGAGGCAGGAAATGACTAGAAAGGGACAAAGGCAGAGCCAAGACTACTCAAAATATTCCATTTTATATTGTTTTGATTTTTGCACTATGTAAACGTCTTACCTATTACCAATTCAAACATCTAACCTACTAATTCCTCACATGAAATTCAGTATAAAGATAAAGACAACATGATTTTTGGCATTGTTTTAGAAAGTGCATACTTTTGTCCATGTACAATGAAGTATTTATTTGGAAAACTATTGCCGACTAGCACACTAAAGAGGAGAGGAAAAAAAACAGCTCTGACAATTTTCTTTGTGTCAAATGCCAACCATGGTAAAAACACACAACATTAAAATGCACTCTGGAGCACAGGTAGAAGGAGCTCACGTTTGACTGTCAGATCTGGCTAACTGCTGCTCCTCGGCCTGATGTACAGATAAATCCACACAGCTGGGCCCTGCAGCACACTGCTCTGCTCACACACTTCTTTGCTGTCACACTTGTGTCAAATACATCAAGCTGCTCACAAATGCCACACGGAGAGCCAGAGAGAGCATGAAGCCTCAGCTCTCCTACCTGGCAGGAGGGGCAGATGAAGATCTTTCCACGCAGGCTACCACCCATTTCCACAGCTCTGGCAAAGTAAAAGAGGACAAAAGACCTATGTGAAACACACCACAGCCAGTCGTGGTGGCTCACACCTATAATCCCAGCACTTTGGGAGGCGGAGGCAGGAGGATTACCTGAGCTCAGGAGTTCGAGACCAGCTTCAGGACATGGCAAAAACCCGTCTGTATGAAAAAATACAAAAACTAGCCGGGTGTGGTGGTGTGCACCTGTAGTCCCAGTAGCTCAGGAGGCTGAGGTAGGAGGATCACTTGAGCCTGGGAGGCAGAGGTTGCAGTGAGCCGAGATCACGACACTGCACTCCAGCCTGTGTGACAGAGTAAGACTCTCTGTCTCAAAAAAAAAAAAAAAAAAAAAGCACCACAACTCAAATTCCTAAGGGTTTCAAGTTAGATATCAGAAACTACACCAACCCTAGTCCTCTGCTTTACTGTGAAAAAGTTAAGCTGTATCTGAGCTTGTACATCTTGTCACATAGAGATATGGTTTGAGAGTCTTACAGTAATAACATAAAAAGATTAAGTGGATTATGACTCATCATGTAAGGGTGTATCTCACCTACAAATGAAGCATATTTTTCATCCCACTCCTGACTCTTCAACCGTGTCAAGATTATGCTCCTAAGGACACTTATTCTTTATCCATGTATCATGTTCCACATAATACTTCTTCAACTATGCATCCTATT